TTCTGTTCAGGTGATCTATCCACTGATCTAAGTGGGGTGTTTAAATCCCCTCTATTATTGTTTTACTATAAATTTCTTCCTTTATATTTAATAATATTTGCTTTATGTATTTGGGTTCACCAATGTTGGGTGCATAAATATTTATAATTGTTACATCTTCTTCTTGGATTGTTCCCTTTATGGGATTGGATTATATAGTATCCTTCTTTGTTTCTTGTTGCAGTGTTTGTTTTAAAGTGTATTTTGTCTGATACAAGTATTGCTTCCCTGGCTTTCTTTTCACTTCAGTTTGCATGATAAATGTTTTTCCATCCCTTCACTTTCAATCTGCATGTGTCCTCAGGTCCAAAATGAGTCTCTTGTAGGTGGCATATAAATGGGTCTTGCTTTTTTATCCATTCTTCACCCATATCCATTATTGATAGGTAGGGACTTATTGTCATTTTGTTACTTGTTTTATATGTTTGTTTTTGTAGTTCTTCTCTGTCCTTTCTACTCTTGGTCTCCTTACCAGTGGTTTTATGGCTTTCTTTAGTGATATGCTTAGATTCCTTTTTATTTTTTTGCATATCTATTGCCAATTTTTTATTTGTAGTTAACATTAGGTTTATATATAATATCCTATGTATATAGTAGTCTATTTTAAGTTGATGGTCAGTTAAGCTTGAACCCATTCTGAAAGCACTAAATTTTACTGCCCACCCTATGTTTTAGGTATATGATGTCATATGTTACATCTTTTCATTTTGTGAATCCCTTGACTGATTTTTATACATATGCTTGATTTTACAGCCTTTGTGCTTTTACCTTCCATACTGCTTTTGTAAGTAATTAATCTACTACTTCTGTTATATGTTTATATATACTTGTAAAATCTTTTTCCTTTCCTACTTTTCTTACCCCTGGTTATGGTCTTTCCTTCTGACTCAAAGAGTCCCCCTTTTTAATATTACTTGCAAGGCTGGTTTAGAGGTGATGAATTCCTTTAACTTTTGTTTGTCTGGGAAACTCTTTCTCTCTCCTATTCTGATTGATAGCCTTGCTGGATAGAGTATTCTTGGTTGCAGGTTTTTCCCCCCTTTCAGCACTGTGAATATATCATGCTACTCCCTTCTGGCCTGCGAATCTTCTGCTGAAAAATCTGCAGATAGCATTATGGACTTTCTCTTGTATATAACTCCTCTCTTGCTCCTTTTAAAATTCTCTTGTTATCACTACTTTCTGTCATTTTAATTACAATGTGTCTTGGTGTGGACCTCTTTGGGTTGATATTGTCAGGGGATCTCTATGCCTACTGAATCTGGATGTTTCCTTCCCCAGATTTGGGAAGTTTTCAGCTATTACTTCTTCAAATAAACTTTCTGCCCCTTTTTCTCTCTTCTCCTAGGATTCCTATAATGCAAATGTTATTACACTTAATGGTGTCACTGAATTCCTTTAACCTATCTCATTTTTTTATTCTTTTTTTCTTTTTCCTGTTCAACTTGATTGCTTTCCATTACTCTGTTTTTCAGCTCAGTGACCCTCTATTCTGCTTCCTCTAGTCTATTATTCCCTCTAGTGTATTTTTACTTTCAGTTATTGAGTTCTTCACCCCTGATTGGCCCTTTTTAAATTTTTCTTTATTTTCTATCTCTTTGTTAAGGGTTTCACAGAGATCCTCTACTCTTTTCTCAAGTCCAGTGAGTATCTTTATGACCATTACTTTAAATTCTGTTTCAGGCATATTACTTATCTCTATTTCATTTAGCTCTCTTATGATTTTGTCCTGTTCTTTCATTTAGGATATACTCTTCTGTCTCCTCATTTTGTCTAATTCTCTGTCTGTTTCTAAGTTAGAAAAGCCAGCTACGTCTCCTGCTCTTAAAAGTAGTGGCCTTATGAAGAAGAGGTGTTAGAGTACTCTGCAGTGTAATGTTCCCTATTAACCAGAACCTGGCACTTCAGGGATGTCTCTGTGTGTTGTGTGCACCTTACTGTTGGGGTTGAGATGTTTGCTTTCAGTCCAGTCATTTGCAATGGCTCTCATTGCCTATTGTGTGCAGGATTTGGTCCCTGTGGTTGTTAAGGTGTTAGTCTGGGGCCACCTGGGCCTGAGTTGGGTCAGGCCAGATGTTTGCCAGAACTGTGGTCACACCAAACTGCATGGCACTCTCCTTGAGTTGCCCCTTGACGTTCATTGGCGGTCTGGGCTTGCAGTCAGACTAGATGTCTGCTCCCAGCCACTATTGGGGCTGCAGTCAAACTGCTGTATTTGGTTATCTTCCCCTCTCCCCAGGGCAGGAATCACTTTGGAGTAGTGTTCACCCCTGCAGGGGCTGCTTGCACACTGCCACACTTAGGGGATGCTTTGGACAGACACCTGTCAAATGGGGTAGGTTGGATGGAGTGGATCCACAGAACAGGGGTGCCAAGTGCAGTGTTAACAAGCTAGGTGGAGAGTGTTTGCACTGGTTCTCGCAGGTGTCTGCATATATAGGCTGGGGGGTAGGGTGAGAAATGGGTCCTGCCACCTTTTGTTCTTGGAAAAATCTCCTAAAGATCCCTGCCCCTCCTGGGCATAAACTGGGATTAGTAAATAAATTTTCCCATATACCCCAGGTATTTTTCATATTTCTGCTTCTATGCTGTATCCCAACAGGATTGTTATGCTGCATCTTTAAGAGCAGGGACTTAGTTTCCTATCACCCTCTGGCTCTTCCAAAGCCAAGCAAGCTGATTTTTAAAGTTCCTAGTGTTAACACCCACTGACTGTAAAAACTCACAAAGTTAAGCACCCCTGGTTTTCAAAGCCAAATGTTATGGGGATTCTTCTTCCGAGTGCAGGTCCCCCCTACCTGGGGTGCTGCGTGGAGTCTGCTCCTCTCCCTTCTCCGAGCTTGTAGTGTCCCTCCCTTTTGTGATTTATCTCACTGGTTTGTTTCCTGACCATGTCTCCACCCTTTCTACCACTTTCAACTAGCTATGGAGACTCTTCTGCTAGTCCTCAGGTGTTTTCTGGGTTATATACACTAATGTGGGTATTATCCAGGTGCATTTGTAGGTCAAGGTGAGCTTAGGGTCCTCCACCACCTTCCTCAGAAACTCACAGAGCCGTCCTTGGCAAAGAGCTAGAAAATACTTCAATGGTGTTTGTGATGTCACAGAGGCCTTGGGAAAATTATAAAGATAGAGACAAACTAAGTGTTTTGGTCCTTTTTCTGAAATAGCTATACTATATGGACATAATCATAACATGTCAAATGTATAGCCCAGGATTTAAAGAATATATTCTACCTCTAGCCCAGGAAATACTGCACTTTTCTGAAGGATCCAATTTTATGAAGGTATTTTATCTCCAGTCATTTAATCGCCATTCAGATTCTGTCTTCTGGGTTCTGTGGTTCTAATATACACATCCTGAAAAGTGAAAAGATAATAGCTTTTCCTGTGATTTTGGGCCATAGGGGAGATGGAGTCATACAGAGTATTGGAGAAGTGTAACCAATGTGAAACCAGGTAGGCAACGGGGCAAGATATGGTGTCAACCCAGTAAATTCTCCCTTCCTAACACTCCCTGACATTTCCCTCAAACCACGATAAAAAGAGCCAAACTCATCACATATTGACTAAAAATTTAAATGCATTCACACACTAGATATAAAAAATAAGCAGACTAATATTCAGGATCTTCTCATTTTGTATTTGACTAAAAGGGCCCCATAGAAAAGAATTTTTCTCCAATCATTTCCATAGAGATTATGTCTAGTTTAATTGTCCCAAATTGAACTAAAAATTACAAATATTTACAACATATTAAAAGTATGTATGATTGGGGCGCCTGGGTGGCTCAGTCGTTAAGCGTCTGCCTTCAGCTCAGGTCATGATCCCAGGGTCCTGGGATCGAGCCCCGTATCAGGCTCCCTGCTCCGTGGGAAGCCTGCTTCTCCCTCTACCAGTCCCTCTGCTTGTGTTCCCTCTCTCGCTATGTCTCTCTCTGTCAAATAAATAAATAAAATCTTAAAAATAAAAATAAAAGTATGTATGATTAAGAGCTTTTTCTACACCCACACACACCACACACTCACACCCATACATACACATGATATTAAGTTGCCTAAAGTAGGCATCATCTATAATAAAGTTTCCTCCAGAATTTATAGTTACTTCTGCATTGGATACAATTAATATTTCAAACACTTTTCAAGCTGCTTTACAGTATCACATATTATTCTAGTAACAAACATATGTTATAGATATTCCCATTTTGTGTATGAGAAAAATAGAAGCTTCAGCAAATTAATTATATTAGTCACTTGATTTAGCTACTTAATGGCATGGCTAGTATTAAAACACAGGCTGCCTTTTCTCAAATTCTGGGCTCTTTATAATACCTCATAATGAGTATTAATTCTAGCATTAACACTAGAGTATTCATTCTTTCAACAACCATTTATTAAGCACATACTAGAAGCAAGGCTCAGCTAGACTCCTGGGATAGAACACTAACCCAAACAGACAAGCCTCATACCACAGATACTGGTGTCATTCTGAGACTTAGCTAGCTCTCTATTACATTTGAACCTCAATGTTATTAGAGACAAATCTTCAATTTTTATTTTGTATTCTGAAGGTCCATTTGCATTAACATTGATTTGTTTCCATTCCAAAGTGAAATAATAATTAACTTCAAAAAATAATTACTATCATTACAAGAAAATGGTAACATTTATTATAAATAATTTCCTATCAATACAGTGTTTATTGCATTCAATGCCTCCCCCAACCCAGTAATCACTTTCTTGTTCTTCTTTTCTTAGAAGATAAAGTCTTAATGTTCCTTCTTCCAGAGTACAGAGAATGAGGCTCCAGGTTGCTCCATAAGGGCAATGTATGCTTGAAGAAAAAGTTCTGATTTCTCTGACCTCTTTTCACCCAATTTGCTTTCATTGGTACAGGTACTGACTAGGAGCTAAAATCTTTTATTTCTCTGCTTATCACTTTACATATCTGCGAAACAGTAGTCTTTCTCCCACTGGATTAATGTTAGATGGAACCAGCAGAGGAAGGAAGATTTATCATCTTTATGGTACTAGCGCATTCACTGAATATACAGTCATGCATGAAATTGCAGTGGGGAAAATTGATGCTACTGTTCCCATGGATAAAGGCTGTATCATAAGCAGTGAGGTGCCTAAAGGCTTTGGAGCTATGTTTAACACTGCAAAGGTTCAAATGTACTTTTGTGTTGTTTTTCAGTGACTCCAACTACATTCTGGGAGCAATACTGTCAGAGTGCTTCTTCCATAAGAGATAACACTACAGTGGCTTTTTTCTTTTCCTATTAAACACAGGCGCACCAGCTTTGAATAACTAATAGAGGTTTATCTTCTGAATTTGAAGGTCACCCTTAGTCCCACCTGCACTATCTTTGGACTTAGAGGAATTGGCTCAGCCATTGTCATCCATGCAAGGGTGGACATCAATGAGGGGAAATTTCCCTGGGAAAGACCATTAGGGGTCACTGATTGTCTCAACCCTTAGAACCTCAAGAAGCCCAACCAGCAGGTGGTAGTGGAAATGACAGGCTTTGGTGTATACTTTGCCTCTGAGGCCACTGGAATCACTGGTACTATGGTATGTGGTCTTAGGGTGCAGTAAGAGGGAGCTGCCTGTCAATATAGGATTATACATTAAATTAACTTTATGAAGACATGAAATTACTATAGTTTTTAACTAGTATTTTTGAGCACATATTATGTGCCTTGCATGGTGTCAAGCTCTTTACATACTCTATCCCATTTAGTCCTAACATCATTTTACAAGTTAAATACTAACATCTTCATTTTATTTTATTTTTTTAAAGATTTTATTTATTTATTTGACAGAGAGAGAGAGACACAGCGAGAGAGGGAGCACAAGCAGGGGGAATGGGAGTGGGAGAAGCAGGTTTCCTGCAGAGCAGGGAGCCCAATGCAGGGCTCGATCCCAGGACCCCGGGATCATGACCTGAGCCAAAGGCAGATGCCTAATGACTGAGCCGCCCAGGCGCCCCTCCTCATTTTAAAGACTGAAAAACTCATTGTAATTAAGTTAAAACAGCTTGCCTAAAATCTGACGGGGTGGGGTACAACATGTTTATTCTGTATTATTTTTCCCATAAAGCTACCCTGAAAATATGTTTTAGGATTGTGAGTTAAAAGAGGTATAATTTGGGGCTACTGAGATGCTAATCAGTTCATTTCTGAAATTAGGACATGGAGTCATGCCATCTGAGCTATAGAGTAAGTATGATTACTGGAGTAGCACGCTCAAATTCACAACTCTCCTTGACCCAATGCTGATTCTCTCTGGGAGAACCCTGAAAGGTGACATTATGGGAGGCAGGTCTTTGACTTCACATTGCCTTTTCCGGAAACCTAGACCTGCTGCATTCGCCTTGGCCAAAAAAAAAAAAAAAAAAAATGAAGTTGAAGAGGTTGGAAAAATATTCCTCTATGAAAGGAAATAGAAGACAATGTGTTCAAATAAGAAAGCACATCCTTACCTTCCCCACAGGCATTTATTACCTATAGGAGCAAAAACAGATTAATATTGTTACATTATTAGTAACATACAGAGTAGTTGCATTTCAGAAAGCTGACATTCCACAACTGGTGAGGAGCCATCTCATGCCCCTGTGCCACTCCCCAGCACAGGATAAGACTAGAAGAAAATCCCACTGTATTGACTGCAATTCTTATCTTAACAATCACCCTAATTTGCTATTTAAGAATATAACAGACAATTCTAATGTGGTATGTTACTTGAATCCTTCTTCTCCAAACAACAACTCCAAATCCCTTTCACAAAATCTCACACTCACATCCAGTATTCTTCCAGACCAGCACTTTCCAAGAGAAGTTTCTGTGATGATGAATATGTTCTACAGCTGTGTTGCCCAGTTCAGTAGCCACAAGCCAAACGCAGCTATTGAACACTTGAAATATATCTAGTACAACTGGGGAACAGGCTTTTAAATTAAATTAGATTAAATTTTAATTAATTTAAACTTCAATAGGCACATATGGCTAGTGGCTACCTTATTAGACAGCACAGTTGAGATTATTTTGTTCTTGAACTTTTGTCAGAATGCTCTGGTAAGATTAAGTGGAGAAAACTATGGCATAGGGCTAAACAACATAGGCTTTGCTGTCAGATCACTTACTAAACATGTGACCTTAGCAAGTTATTTAAACTTGTTCACAGTCCTATCACCTGAAAAACACGGTAAATAATAGTTCCCTTCTTACCTACTATAGTAAGAACTACATGCGAAAATGTAGGTAAAGCACTTGGCAAACAAGCTGATGCATATTCAGCACAAAATTAATGTTTAATTGTGGCAATTACAACAATGAAAATAGTAGCTTTTCAGCCCAGACAAAAAATGAGGAGGAAAACACATATATTGCAAAAAATAACTGGAGGATTTTTTGCTGTTTTAAAATATCTGGGTGCTCTTTCCTTTCTTCCTTTCTGCAACTTTGCATGAGTTGATTGAATGTAAATAATAAAACTGAATTAGTATCTAGATGTCAAATACTAGAGAAAACTTTGCCATTGGCCAACCTCCCGTTATAAAAGTTTTTTTCCAGAAACTCTAGATGTCTGAATTTTCCAATTTGAATAAAAACTCATTTTAAAGATTAAACTGTCTCAAAAGTGATTAAGCTGGGGGCGCCTGGGTGGCTCAGTTGGTTAAGCGACTGCCTTCGGCTCAGGTCATGGTCCTGGAGTCCCGGGATCGAGTCCCACATCGGGCTCCCTGCTCGGCGGGGAGTCTGCTTCTCCCTCTGACCCTCTTCCCTCTCGTGCTCTCTGTCTCTCATTCTCTCTCTCTCAAATAAATAAATAAAATCTTTTAAAAAAAAGTGATTAAGCTGGTACTTGAATGACTAAGCATAATTGGAACTATTTCTTTCAATGTTAACCAACCTTGACTTCACTGGAGGAATTTATTTACATTTTCTAAAACTCCTCATTGTATATAAGACTGATGAATCACAAACCTGTACCCTTGAAACAAATAATACATTATATGTTAATTAATTTAATTTAAATTTTTTTAAAAAGCTATGATGCTCAAATTCTCAATAAATGAATAATTATGGATGTGAAAGCTAAAATTGTTATTCTGACATGGGGTTTTATGTTTTTAAAATCTTATCAATATTAACTGAATAAAACATTTTAAAATTAAAAATCAATCAATCAATCTTCTCATTATGTATCTGTCATGTCTTCTTCCTCCCTACTACATGGAAACACTCTCAGGAAACCACCCTTAATAAGATTCTCATTCTGAATAGAAAGATCCGGAATGGTTTTTTCCTTTCATTCACTGCCATGCTGAAAAGTTTCTAAGTGACTCAAAATCCTGTATACCAATTATGTAACACCCAGATATTTTAGCACAAACTGTCCTATTAGGTAACAAAATATTTGTAATCAGGGCTCTGATAAAGAGTACCAATTGTCTTTTTAAAAAAGAACTCAACCTTTTTGGCTTTTTAGCCATATCTTAACATTTCCTAATAGCCTTAAGTGCAATTTTACATGACATTTATAAAGAATAAACGTTGCAGAAGCAGAACCCTGCTAGGAATATAAAGACCTGGGTCCTAGGTCCAGCTTTGCCACTTTGTAGAGAGGCATCACCGATTTAAAATGTACCCAGGATTTAATTTAGTCCAATATGGTAAGATGACAGACAGAGACAACTGCCTTGAAAGAAGAGTTTATTACTCATATTTCCCAAGAGAAGGGAATATGCCACACCATAGAGGCCATATGGGGAACAACCAGGACCAGGCAGGAGGTAAAAAGAGCTAGAGTAAAGCACAAGCCAAAGTCTTTATTGTGGTTTTCATAAGAAGGAACAGGCAGGGCCAGGTAGGCAAGTTAAGCAAATTTCAACAGGTTCTGGGCCATATGGGTGGTCCCTAATTGTCTGGTAAACTGACCCTTGGGTGACTTAGGACAGGGGAATAGTGTCTCAGACTACTGGTACCTGATAAAAGGATCAAGATAATACATTTAAACATGCTTATTATTTATATGAATAAACTATACAAATTATTAAAAAACAAAAAAAGAGGTGGATGAGGGATGCGGACTTGCAGTTGGTTGGCTGCATATCAAAGACTTGCTGATGTAAGATGTTTGCTATCTCTAGCAATTAGCTAATGCCAGAGGAGCAGTCCCTCCCCAGGTCCACAGGTTTCCAAGATATCAAAGCATCATAAAATACAGAAAATAAAAAACATAATAGATACAATCAAGGAAAGATATTTAACCTTTCTAAACCTCAATCCCCTCAAAGTTAAAAATGGGAAAAACAATGCCTGCATCTAACTTATTCAAGGTGATCAGATAGTAAATGGGATCCAGGCAGGGCACCACAAGTACCTTCTGCAACTACTCAACTACACTACTCCCCAAACACTATTAAAGAAGTAGAGGAACTTATTTCTGAGGTTGAAATGTTAGGTTTGTGAAGGAGATTAGTATCTAGAGCCTCAGGCGGAGGGAGAATATGGTAAATCAAACCAGCTGAAGGGTAAACTGTTATAGGAAATCATTAATGCCCTGAAGTCAGAGGAGAGCAGTAGGTTGAAGGTCTGTGATCATGATAAAATAGGGTTCACTCCACCAGTCCACTACTGCCCTTACAGGACTCACCTACAACACAGGTCAATCTTAGCACTCCTGCACATTAAATGGATTCTGCTATGGAATAAATTTTACACATAAACAGTTCATTTGATTCTTTTGTTAGTTTGATTTTTTTTTTCCAGGTCTTGTTATTATTGACCTTTCCTTATACAGAATTTAAAACCAGAGACTCTACTCCGAAAATGGTAACTGACTACCCACAAAACGAAACAAAACAAAGCCAAAAAAATAGATCCACTTACAACCTGTAATTTGCCTTTTTATGAATTAATAAGGTATGTGAATTGCTCTGAGATAGAAATAGGTTAGTTCTTGCGCATAAGTGGTGTGTATGTGAGTGGTGTACGTGTGTGCGTAAGATGTACCTGTGTGAGATATTTTATACATGTGACTCTTGTATGCAAAATTTTATGAAAAATGAGGTCTCAGAGCAAGTATAAAAGAGAGCAGTTGTGAGAAACAGCTTAGAGAACCACAATAAAAGATCTTTAAGTCAGTTGTGAGAAGCCCTCAACCCTTTACTCAGTCACTGTGTGACCCAAAATGGCTACCTTTACCCCTGTTACTGCCTCATCTATCTAATGGGAATAATAATAACATGTAGAATTTCATGAATTTTTTTAAAGATTGTATTTATTTATTTAAGAGAGAGAACAAGCAGGGGGAGCAGCAGAGGGAGAGGGAGAAGCAGACTCCCCGCTGAACTGGGAGCCCAACATGGGGCTCAACACCAGGACCCTAAGATCATGACCTGAGCCAAAGGCAGACACTTAACCGACTGAGCCACCCAGGCGCCCCTACCCCTGGGTTTTACACAAAGATTCCTG